TGGCATGGACTCGATCAGTCTGTGGCACTGCTCAGGTGTTATGAGAGCCCAGGTTTCTCTGATAGTGGCCTTCAGCTCTTCTGAATTGTTGGGTCTGGTGTATCACATCTTCCTCTTCACAATACCCCAGATTTTCTATGGGGTTAAGGTCAGGTGAGTTTGCTGGTCAATTAAGAACAGGGATACCATTGTCCTTAAACCAGGTACTAGTAGCTTTGGCACTGTGTGCAGGTGCCAAGTCCTGTTGGAAATTGAAATCTGCATCTCCTTAAAGTTGGTCAGCATGAAGTGCTCTAAAACATCTTGGTAGACGGCTGCATTGACTGTGGATCTCAGAAAACACAGTGGACCAGCATCAACATATGACATGGCACCCCAAACCATCACTTACTGTGGAAACTTGACACTGGCCCTCAAGCAACATGGATTCTGTGCCTCTCCTCTCTTCCTCCAGACTCTGGGACCTTGATTTTCAAAGGAAATGCAAATTTACTTTCATCAGAGAACATAAGTTTGGATCACTCAGCAGCAGTCCCAGGCGAGACGTTTCTGACGCTGTCTCTTGTTCAAGAGTGGCTTGACACAAGGAATGCGACAGCTGAACCCCATGTCTTACATATGTGTGAGCGTGGTGGTTCTTGAAGCACTGACTCCAGCTGCAGTCCACTCTTTGTGAATCTTCTCCATATTTTGGAATGGGTTGTTTCACAATCCTCTCCAGGGTGTGGTTATCACTATTGCTTGTACACTGTTTTCTGCCACATCTTTCTCTTCTTCTCTATTAATGTGCTTGGACACAGAGCTCTGTGAACAGCAAACCTTTTTAGTAATGACCTTTTGTGTCTTGCCCTCCTTGTGCAAGGTGTTGGTCGTATTTTGGACAACTGTCAAATCAGCAGTCATCCCCATGATTGTGTTGTCTACAGAACTAGACAGAGACCTTAAAAGCCTTTGAAGGCATTTTGAGTTAATTAGCTGATTAGAGTGTGGCACCAGGTGTCTCAATATTGAACCTTTTCACAATATTCTAATTTTTTGAATTAGAAATTAGAATTTGGGATTTTCATTAGTTGTCAGTTATAATCATCAACATTAAAAGAAATAAACATTTGAAATATATCAGTCTTTGTAAATGGTAAATGGACTGTACTTACATAGTGCCTTTCTATCTTATTTCACAATACTCAAAGTGCTTTACACTACAATCTGTGTCCTCATTTACCCATTCATACAGCACTCTACTGGATCTCTACAAAGCTAATTGAACAAATCATTCTAATGAGACTTATCAGTGCTTTAGATCACATTCATACACTGATGGGACACGCATCAGAAGCTATGAGGGGTTCAGTGTCTTGCCCAGGGACACTTCAGCATGTGACTGCTGGTGGATTTGAACCCCCAACTCTCGCAATGGAGGACGACTGCTCCAACCACTCAGTCACAGCCGCCCTGTGTATAATGAATGAATATAATATACATGTTTCACTTTTTGAATGGAATTACAGAAATAAACTTTTTCATGATATTCTAATTTTATGACCAGCAGTAGACCAACAGTAATCCAAGATGGCCATCAAAACAAAATTCAAGTGGCAATAACTGTGATTGCAGCTCCCACCACAGCATATAACACCAAACATATAATCAAATCATGAATTAAAAATGCCAGTCCCGTCAAAATTTCTGGAGAAACCGTTTTAGTTTTGTGATGATCCACTACTTCTCCTCCACCATAACCCTCAGCACTGGCTCCCCTCAGGACTGTGTGCTAATCCCCCTCCTGTTCACTCTGCTCACATATGAACATATGACTGTGCAGCTACCCATCCAGGCTGTCACAATGTAAAGTTTGTAGATGATACAGAGCTGGTGGGATTCATCACAAACAATGATGAGTCCAGCTACAGGCTGGAGGTGGAACACCTGGTGCAGGAAGAACAACCTCCACATCAATGTGAATAAGATAAAGGAGATAGTCATAGACTTCAGGCGGAACAACCCCCCCCACACACACACATATACACACACACACACACACACACGAACATAGGAGGATCTGCAGTGCAAGTGGTCTCCAGCTAGAACTACTTGGTGTACACCTGAATGACAAACTCAACTGAGGCAACAACACTACCAGCCTGATCAAGAAAGCTCATCAGAGACTCTACTTCCTCAGGCGGCTGAGACGAGCTGGTCCGGGAAGCTCAGTCCTCACCTCCTACTACAGGTGTGCAGTGGAGAGCATCTTGTGCTCCAGCATCAACGTGTGGCATGGAGGCTGCACAGCTGCAGAAAGAAAATCTTTGCAGAGACTGGTGAAGGCTGCACAGAAGTCTGTTGAAATCAGCCTCCCCACCATCACAGACATCTACACCTCCAGATGCAGGAAGAGGGCCACCTGCATCATGAAGGACCCCACTCACCCAACACACACACACACACACACACACACACACTTTTTGCTCCACTCCCCTCAGGAAGGAGGTTGAGGAGCATAAAGTGAAGAACCACTAGACTGAGAAACAGCTTCTACCATGAAGCTGTTAGACTCATGAATAATCAGAATAATGACGGTAAAAAATCACATCATGTTGCTGATCTGTTACTTGTTGCTGTGTTCATTCATGCTCATCTGCTCACACAGACTCATGTTCATGCTGAACATATGCTGGTGTATTGTTTTTGTACTACTAGTGCTTAGTGTATTTTTAGTTAACATATTTCTTAGTTCATATCTTACATCCAACAAAAGTATAAAATGTGAAAGAAAAACAGTAATAAGATCTAACTGGGACCCTGTGTACACAATTTCGTTCTACCACATATACCACATGTGGTACGTATGACACATAAAGAAACTCTGACTCTAACGCTTGACTTTGTGACTTTAGTTGCTTTGTGCCATTGTTGTGTTACAGATTGGCCACTAGATGTTGCCAAATTTTAGTAACTGATTTTTCAACCTAGAACTATTACATACAATTATTGCTTTATATTAATTCAATGGTTCAGAAAATATTTTTTCCCTAGACTTCACAGTGACAGGTTTCCTCTACCCCAGACACCACAGCCACTTGACAGATATTTACTCCTTTTCTTCACTTACTGCCCATCTTTTATTGCCACATGCCAGGGGTGTGTCACATTATTCAGGTGCCAGGCCACCCCTGGCACCCGTTTGGCTCCACCCCTGGATAGAACCTCAATTTGTAAAAACAAAACAAAAAAACCCCAGTGATTGGACAAACAGATACGACTCAAACACGTCAAAAAATCCTCAAGATTATCTTAGCATTTATTCAGATTTATTGGTCTCAGAGATGCAATAAAAACAGGTAAAACGATAACTGTTCAGTAACAACCACATCAGTACTGAACTATACTAACATGTGACTTTGCTAGCAGTTTGACACAATCATGTTCCCAAAGTAAGCGGTCACAGTCTTCAGCTTGTTGTTCAGAAAATTCTGCTCCACCTCGACTTTCCCTCCTGGACCTGCCAGAGATGCCACCTGGGACAAAATGGACAACAATTCGTTAGTTGGTTAGCAAAATATATGGCGGCACAGAGAGTCGAGCCTAGTGGAGGGAAGAGTTTCAGACTAATGATGAGGTACAAAAACCAATGCAGACATGTTCTGTTCTTAGTATTTTATATTGCTTTATAATGTAGCTGTTTTTGTTTAGTTTTTATTTAATTTCTTCAGACTATATGAGAAATGACGGAGCCGTAGATTTTGCTCAAACATTGTGAATAATCCTGATGCATGATCAATAATCCTGGTAGAAAAATCCAAAAAAGTTCAATCTGGTCCTCTGGACATTCAAAAAAACAAAACAAAGCAAAAAAATGTAGATACGTTTTGTCTTTCATCCAAAAGACTTCCTCAGTCTGAGGTGCTGTATTCAGCTCAGTCTCTTAAATAGCACCTTCTCAGAGTGGCTCAACCTGCTGGTGACAACCAAAACCAGCTGCTCACATGGTCAAGAAGGACCATCAGCCTAACGATGGATCATTAGCACACTGATGGCTGTTTACTATTCACAGGGGGCTGAGTGATACTAGCGATAACAGCATTGTAAGAGGGGGACAGTTGAACCCAGAGGCCTCCACCCGTGTTTAATGATGGACGTTTTTTTTTCACAAAGATGGCCTCCTTTACTCCTCTCTCAAACCATTGTTCCTCTCTGTCCAGGATGTGAACATCTTCATCCCTGAAAGAGTGACCGCTGGCCTGGAGATGAGTGTAGACTGCAGAATCCTGGCCTGATGAGGTTGATCTTCTGTGCTGGGCCATCCTTTTGGCCAGTGGCTGTTTTGTTTCCCCGATGTAAGACCCACACAGACCAGTATTTGCAGTTTGACTCCCATCACCCTTTGGAGCACAAGTCATCAGGACTCTGTATCACAGAGCAGACAGCGTCCCCACTAACTCAGGAGCCAGGCAGAAGGAGAAATCTCACACAAGACAGGCTCTAGAGCAATGTGGATATCCTAACTGGGCCTTCCTGAAAGCAGAGAAGAAACCCAAACAGGACTCAAGTCAGCCATCAGGTGAAAAGGAGGAACCCAGACCCAGACCAGTGGTCATTCCGTATGTTGAGGGAGTATCAGAGAAACTGAGACGTTTATTTTCGAAACATAACATCCTAGTGGCTTTTAAACCCCAAAATACATTACGGCAAAGACTGGTTCATCCCAAAGATCCAGTGTATGTGTATGCTGTTCAGTGTCAGGAGGGTTGTGATCAGTCTTACATGGGGGAAACTAAACAGCCACTGGCCAAAAGGATGGCCCAGCACAGAAGATCAACATCATCAGGCCAGGATTCTGCGGTCTACACTCATCTCCAGGCCAGCGGTCACTCTTTCAGGGATGAAGATATTCACATCCTGGACAGAGAGGAACGATGGTTTGAGAGGAGAGTAAGGAGGCCATCTTTGTGAAAAGAAATTGTCCATCATTAAGCAGGGGTGGAGGCCTCCGGGTTCAACTGCCCCCCTCTTACAATGCTGTTATTGCTAGAATCACTCAGCCCCCTCTGCGCCAAGCAGGAGTGGGCATACTTATTGCCCCCCCAACTTGGTGCCTGTGTGTTGGAGTTCGCCCCGGTGAAAGAGAGGGTGGCCTCCCTCCGCCTACGTGTGGGGGGACGGGTTCTGACTGTCGTTTGTGCTTATGCACCAAACGGCAGTTTGGATTATCCACCCTTTCTGGAGTCCTTGGAGGGGGTACTGGAAAGTGCACCTCCTGGGGACTCCCTTGTTCTACTGGGGGACTTCAATGCTCATGTGGGCAATGACAGTGAGACCAGGAGGGGTGTGGTTGGGAGGAACGGCCCTCCTGATCTGAACCAGAGTGGTGTTCTGTTGCTGGACTTCTGTGCTCATCATGGATTGTCAATAACGAACACCTTGTTCAGGCATGAGGGTGTCCATATGTGCTCTTGGCACCAGGACACCCTAGGCCGCAGTTCGATGATCGACTTTGTCATCGTCTCATCTGATCTGCAGCCACATGTCTTGGAGACTTGGGCGAAGAGAGGGGCGGAGCTGTCCACTGATCACTACCTGATGTTGAGTTGGCTCCGATGGTGGGGGAGGATGCCGGTCAGACTTGGCAGACCCAAACGTATTGTGAGGGTTTGCTGGGAACGTCTGGCAGAGTCTCCTGTGAGACGGAGTTTTAACTCCCACCTCCGAGAGAACTTCAAACATGTTCCGAGGGAGGTGGGGGACATTGAGTCCGAGTGGACCATGTTTCGTGCCTCTATTGTCGAGGCGGCTTACCGGAGCTGCGGCCGCAAGGTTGTCTGTGCCTGTCGCGGCGGCAACCCTCGAACCCGATGGTGGACACCGTCGGTGAGGGATGCTTTCAGGCTGAAGGAGGAGTCCTATCGGGCCTTTTTGGCCTGTGGGACCCCGGAAGCAGCTGATGGGTACCGGCAATCCAAGCGACATGCGGCTCGGGTGGTTGCTAAGGCAAAAACTCGGGCATGGGAGGAGTTCGGAGAGGCCATGGAGAACGACTTCCGCACGGCTTCGAGACGATTCTGGTCCACCATCCGGCGTCTCAGGGGGGGAAAGCGGTACGCCACCAACACTGTTTATAGTGGGAGTGGTGTGCTGCTGACCTCAACTCGGGATGTTGTGGGTCAGTGGGCGGAATACTTTGAAGACCTCCTCAATCCCACCGGCACGTCTTCCACTGAGGAAGCGGAGCCTGGGGACTCTGGGTCGGGCCCTCCAATCTCTGGTGCTGAGGTCACCGAGGTGGTTAAAAAGCTCCTCGGTGACAGGGCCCCAGGGGTGGATGAGATTCGCCCAGAGTTCCTTAAGGCAATGGATGTTGTAGGGTTGTGTTGGCTTACGCGACTCTGCAATATTGCGTGGACATCGGGGGAAGTTCCCCTGGATTGGCAGACCGGGGTGGTGGTCCCCCTATTCAAAAAGGGGGACCGTAGAGTGTGTTCCAACTACAGGGAATCACGCTCTTAAGCCTCCCTGGTAAGGTCTATTTGGGGGTTCTGGAGAGGAGGGTCCGTTGGATAGTCGAACCTCGGATTCAGGAGGAGCAGTGCGGTTTTCGTCCTGGCCGTGGAACACTGGATCAGCTCTACACTCTCAGCAGGGTCCTGGAGGGTGCGTGAGCCAGTTGAGGTGGCTTGGGCATCTGTTTAGGATGCCTTCTGGACGCCTCCCTGGTGAGGTGTTCCGGACACGTCCCACCGGAAGGAGGCCCAGGGGAAGACCCAGGACACGCTGGAGGGACTATGTTTCTCGGCTGGCCTGGGAACGCCTCGGGATTCCCCCGGAAGAGCTGGCCCAAGTGGCTGGGGAGAGGGAAGTCTGGGCCTCCCTACTTAGGCTGTTACCCCCGCGACCCGACCCTGGATAAGCGGAAGAAAATGGATGGATGGATGGATGGATCCTGCAGCTCTCAGCTCCAGCTCAATTTTTAGCTGGACCTGGACGTGGTCTTCAGAGCAGCAACAGCAGAGAAGCTGCAAAGAGCTCAAGAGCAAGCGAGCTGCCTTGGGGGTTAGGGGTCGTCCCAGGGGAATGCGGTGCGCTCACAAGAACCTGACAAGTTGTTTAATGATATAATATAATTTGTTAGCAAAGAATAGAGTTCTAACATTTGCAAAACACCTGTTTTTATAACAAATTTAAAAAACAAAACTTGTGCTTTGACAATCGATAAACTTTAAAAAAAATGTCAACGTGAAAGAGGAAAGAGGGGCAGGTGTCGCTCTCGCTTTGAGTTTATACTCTTTGTCGCTGCGTGCTGCGGGTGAAATGCGTCGAGAGCGGAGGACTAGTTAGCAAAGAATAGAGACCTAACATTTATTAAACATTACTTCTGTATTAAAATACACACAAAAATTGTGCTTTGACAAACTAAAAAAAATTTGTTAAAGTAAAAGAGGAAGAGGGGCAGGTAACGCTCTCACTTTTAATTTATTCTCTGTAGCATGCGTGTTGTGGGTGACAAGCGTCCAGAGCGTCACCAGCTGAGGTGTCACAGCGACACGGTTCAAGCATGACTCCCCAAACGACAACACAAGACATATCTGTTCATAACTTTATTATTAGTAAGACTGAGACTTGCTGGATTTTATCAAACAGTTGCCAAATGCACCCTGACACAATGAGAATGCTAAAAAAAAAAAGTTGGTGTCGTACTGTAACCCCAGATTCTATGAGTATAGGCATAGCCCTTTAAGAGATGTCGCTGGTGGGTTTATTTATCCCATCATGCAAAGAATCGCACTGAAAAAATTTAGTCCACGCCCACCTGTTGTGTGGGCCCCACCCGGTCCGTATAAATTACGTTAAGAGCAGGTAATCGGCTCCCAAATAGCTTTTTCTTCAGCCATTTAGGAGCCAGTGAGGCCCAACGCTTAAAGGGCTACACCTATACTCATAGAATCTGGGGTTACAGTACGTAACCAACATTCTATTTCGTATAGGCTTTGCCCTTTAAGAGCTGTCGCTGGTGGGTTAAGGGCGAAGCAGATGTAGTCTCTGCCTCACTGGGTCCATTCGAACACCATAAGAAGCGCCCGCTTGCCCAAAAACAACATCTTGTCACTCAGCTCTCCATGTGCGTAAATACGCGTTGCGTAATTAAGCGCACCATGCACAGACGCACACTGCGTAATTTACGCGTTCCGAGTGCATGAATGCCCCGGAAAGGTTTTCAACAGAAAAGAGGAGAGGCTGAAAAAGGCCATGAACAGACCAGATCCACGGCTCTTCAATATGAACAGATTAATAATAAATGAACTGATTATTAATGACTCTGTTGATTCTTTTAAAACGCAGCTTAAGACATTTTTATTTCGTCAAGCTTTTAGTTAAATGTTTTACTGTTTTTTCCAGCTGTTTTTACTGTTTTTATTAATGAGTTGTTATTATTTTATTTCATTTTAAGCTTTTATTTTTTATTGTTGTACAGCACTTTGTGATTGTATCTATGATAAGTGCTATATAAATAAAGTTTACTTAC